CCGCACATGCCCTCACCACCCTAGTGTTGTGTCCATTGGTAATGCTTTAACCAAAGAACTTCTGTATTCTTAATCATATAATATAATTTTGACCTGTTCTGTTTTCACTGTAACTACAAAGGCAAAGAGTTCAGAGGTTTGTTGGGGGATGCAATGTTAGGGTGCTACATGAGCTACAAAGAAGAAAAGCATGCAGTTTCTGCCTTGATGGAGCTCATAACAAAGCTGAAGAAAAAGTCATCTAATTAACAATAGAATGTTAGATGGACTCTACAAGAGATTTTGAGGGAACTAATGGGCAAAAGAATAAGAGAAAAAGATCAGGTAGCATTGATTGAGCACCTATGACTTATGTGCAAGGCACTATATATAAAATTACATACATAGATACATCATCTAGATCTAAATCTAGATATAGATATAGAATAGGTATTATAGATATATAAAATTTGAAGTGAAATAGACAAGTAGTTTTCAAATGTGTGTGCTTTTTAACAGCTCTGGGACTCTTTATTCAAACCATATTGCAGCTGAAAACCCACTATATCAAAGCAAAGCAAGACAGCAGAGCTGCTGTTGTTGCAGAGGGAAAGTGTGTGTGTGTGGGGGGGGGGAGGAGCGGGGTTCAGAGCTTCATTTGATTGGATCTTCTATTCTTTTCCTTTCCCTGCATTTCACCCCAATCCTCAAGCATCTCTTTGGAATCCGTAGGGCTCTGTGGATCATAGCTTGAAAATCACCTGAAAAATCAATGTACTGTGTAACAATATTTTTATAGCTTCCTAAAAGATGTTCAGATTCTACTTTCAATTCTTTTAGCGCAGGAAAGGTCACTGCTTCATGATATAGCTGTATATCACCGAACAACTCTAAGAAATTCTTACCCAGAGTAAGCTAATAACTTTAATGATTCTAGTACTGCTTTGTGTCAAAAAGAGAACAAGTCCCTTTCTTAAGAAAACTCTTCAAATACTTAGTCAGCCAATCTTCCTTGTAATTCTGTCTACATTTAACTTTTGCTCATTCAAAAATCCTATGTTGAGCACCTATCACATGTAATACTTGGGCTACAAGAAGTTCCTGCATTAGCCTCATGGATCTTACATTCTAATAGAGGAGATGGACATACACAGGGATAATAACAAATCAGTATATCAAGAGAGTGCAGGAGGGCTGGCTGCCCCAGGTCAAAGAAGGCTTTCTAAAGAAGGAGCTTCCTGGTCTCATTCTTAAAGGGTAAAATAACTATACAACAAAGGGAAGGGCAAGGCTGGCAACGAGAACAGTGGGAATAAAAGGCGTGGAAGTATAGGAAGACAAGGAAATGGCCAGGAGCTAGAAGCAGTTTAGTGGAGTGACCATTTTGTTCCATAGTAGCCTCTTATTATTCATGAACTCTAAATTGATTTATATTTTTAGTCTGTTTAATGTATTTTTTTAAAATTAACTTTTAGAGAGGGGAAGGCAGAGAGAAATCCATTTATTGTTCTATTTATTCATGCATTCATTGGTTGATTCTTTTTTTTATAATGATAAAAAACATAACATACAATTTTCCATCTTTTTTCAATTATAGTTCACATTAAATATTATTCTGTATTAGTTTCAGGTGCACAACATAGTGGTTAGACTCATATACTTTACAGAGTGGTCCCCCTGATATTTCAAGTACCGCACCCCCCTGGCCTGGACATAGCTATTAGAATATTTTTTTTCCTCCATTGAA